TTGACTTCCTTACCTAGAATCTAGAACACGAACGAAACTCTCTTTAGTTCCGACCGTGAGTCTCTCATCGTCAACTCTACCCTCATCGCTGTCTGACCCACTCAACAGCTAGGCAAACATTATCTGCATTACAACCCCCTAGTGGAGTCCTACCACAGCATGTGTCTGACCGACACCTAGTTTTCTAAAAATAAATGTGTCCGGCAGGTATCTTCACCACGGTCAAGCGATCGTCTAACAATATTCACATAGACTGTATACATAATCTAATCCTATCATTGATTAGTTCACTTACAGCAGCATTAGATAGAACTGGCTATGGTAGTATACAACAGTCCTACTCTAATCTGTTTGTGAGGTGCTCGCAGCTGTCAACCAACTAATCAATAATTAAAACAACACTATGTTGCAGATGTATGATCAGTGGGTATGGTTGTGTTTCCAGTTGAGCACCAATTAGAACCCACCCTCCCCTCAATCCAACATACCGAAGAGCATCATTGAGCAGCGGTGTCTTCGTGTGTATTCTCGGCCTACCCCTGTGCCCAAGTCATTGCCGAGCAAGCCAGCCAGTCCACTCTTATTTACCCTCGTACGGAACGAGCCTTACTACCCGCGTTGATCTGGCTGATCAGGAGGGATTTAAAGAGAGTCCCCATCTGCTCAGGAATCATTTAACGTCTCAGACAGGATGACGATCACAACCAGATTCAATCCGAGTCTCCAACCAGAAATGTTTATAGACGGTCTGGTAAGCGTCTCATAAAAGGCTGGCACACCCGGCAGGGCTTCTATTCAGCGCAGCAAGTGCCAAAATGGACAGCAGTCATCGCATGCGTGACCTACTCCCATTTGGTTGGCATGGTGACCGTGACCCAAGTGCTTCGACCAGGGCCCTTCAGAGGCATCGCCCATGCTCCATTCATATGCTTCCGGGAAGATTGTCGTCTCTCAAGGTAGCGCGCATTCGACACCTCACCAAAAGAGAGGACTCTCAAGTTGGACTCACTTCCTCACGGTAAGAAGAGATTGAGAGAGTAGACAAGGTAAGGGAACAACGTACCTGGAGATAGCTGCCCCCAACCACAGATTTCTAACCAATTGAGCTAAGTGTGCATTTGATGACCGGTCATGGCTTCGGTAACACCCACAACGCAATGCAGTGCCACCTCAGCCGAATGCCACCTCAGCCGAATGCCAATTCAGCATGCTCTCATCAGCAATCGTACATTCCGCTTGTCACCACGGCATACACTCCCGTCTTAGCCTTCCGGCGCACCCCTCTCTACCCAAGCCGTGCGCCTATATGGCCTAACGTCACAAGTACCAACTACGAAGAAGCATTGTCAACGCACCAAGTCTGTATAACGCCAGCGTGCCAAAGGTAAGTGGCGAATCAATCCAGCTCCGATACCAAATGCAAGGAACATGAATATGGACGAAGCATAGAAATCCAAATTGCAAAATCAGACTGAAGTCCAAGTAGTCAAAGCCAGAGCAGATAGCACAATGAAACCAAGTAACCATCCATTTAGGAATGAAACATCAGAATCCTGAGTCAATGTCCAAGCCCAATCGGGCAACACCAACATCATAACCCAATGTAGCTCTCTCTCTTGAATGGCGCCTGGCGCCCTATCTACTCTACAACCTATATCTACAACTACAGCATGGAAGCAAGCAGAAAACTTGATGACCAGTGAGTGATGACGTCAACACCAATGCCGACCTCCTCTTCACCCAGGTACGTCCCTCTCTTCACCCACACTCTCCCTTGATAACCCACACAGCGCCCTTCACCTCCGAAGAACCACCTTCACCCTCACTTCCCCTACGCCCTCAGGCAGCCCGACTATGGCCGCCAGTGCCCTGTGTACAGGCAGCGCCCTACCGCCTAGCGCCTGCCTGTCTCTCACCTCCGCCTAGCGCAGCATAGCAGCGCAGCACAGCTCGCATTTGCGCAGGGTGCCGGCAATGCCCGCATTGGCCAAAGATCCCTGCCCACTCGCCCCTTCTGCCTATATGCGAGTGTTGCGTGTGGGCGGCCTGTCGTGAGCCGGCGCTGGTGTCCCAGTACCTGCGCCCAGGCCCATCACGAATGTGGCCCAGGAAGTAAAGTTGCGGCCCTTATGCTAGGGCTACCGTCCAGATGCAAACCTTTCCCGGTTTCCCATTGGTACACTCGGCCTCTACTACGACAATGCTGATTTCTGATTGGCCAGCGTCCATTGTCGTCCAATGCGTGATGTGTCGGCCTTTCCTGGCCTGTGCCCAGGGCTCAACCAACTGAGGCCTTGGGCTCAACAGCTTCACGCAGGAGTCTGGGATCCACGATGCACTCCGACCAACTGGCGTGCTGCAACTGTCGGATACCCAGTTTATAAAAATGTTGAAAGAAAGGCCTGTACGTGGATATTCTGAGCAACCTTCACTTAGGGTGGTCACAGGTCTGGCCCGCATTCACTTAGGGTGGGCACGAGGCTTGCTGGGGCCTTAGCCCAGAACATATGCATGTCAGCAAGGCCCCCTTCTGAGGGCTCAATCCTCACAATTTTGTTAGTCAGTTCTTTAATACCATTTGCAGTCTGAAGTCGAATTTTTTTTCTCACTGATCATTTCAAACTTCAAGGGGGGTTGGGAGACCTACTGAACTTGCAAAAGTCAGAATTATTATTTTTCTCGATTTATTTTTTTTTTTGCAAAGTTCGAACTTTTCTTTTTTGATTGGTGGCTCCTTATCTGGGCGATTCTTCCCATCCACCCTCCCCATCTACGTTGTTGCCCACTCTGGCCTTACCTTCTCTACCTATCTCCGGGTACCCCCTGGGATGGCATTGGTAAGTTGCCACGCCAGCAGACTACGTCAGCAGGCCATGTCAGCAGGCCACGTCAGCAGACTACGTGAGCAGACTACATTAGTAGGCCACGTCAGCAGGCCATGTCAGCAGGACACACCAGCAGGCCATGTCAGCCGACAGGGCAGAAAATACCACGTCAGCTGGCCCCCGGCCTGGTCTATGCTGTTGTGGTCACATACAGCCGTCATGGACCAGAGGTCCGGAGAAGCAGACGAGGCCTATTAGGCCTGGATGCTGGCTTGGAGTACCGAAACAAAGAAACGGGCGGATGACGCAGCAGCAGCAGCGAAGAAGAAGGCAGAGGACGTCGACCAGGCACGTCTGCAGGCACTTGAACAACATCGCCAGCATGACAAGGCAGCAGCAAGGGCTGCCGATGAAGAAAGGAATCAACGTCGTGAGAAGATATTTAGTGGACAGCAGACCTTGCGCACAATGGCAGCGGCATGGCAGACCGAGGCTAAGAATGGCAAGTTGGAGGATTGCGAAAACAAGATCGCTCTCCTCCTCTCGCATCTCACAGACGTCCTGGCAACCTGCATTACACAGCAGGAGGATATCCACAGCCTTGACGACTTGCTAGCTCAAGTATAAGGCTGTCTTCAGCAGCTGGAGCAGCGACCTGTCGCCGCCCCCGATGCAAGCTCTTCCAATACCTTCGATCGCCTCGAAGCGTTGGAGATGGAGGTCGGCTCCCTCAAGGATGGCGTACAGTTACAGCAGACTGCAACGCAGCAGTTGAAGCAGCGGATCTGCACTACCGCCAATATCTCGATTTCAGAACCGCGCAAGACAGCTCCAAAGATCGGCGGGCAGGAGATCTTCTGCGACTTGACGAAGACAGATCCGGTTCCATGGTTCCGCAAGTTCGAGCTCACGCTACAGCTACACAACGTGAAAGAACACAAGCAACACACATACTTGTACTCTCGCTCAGGGGGCGCGTGCCAGGCTTGGTTGGACCTCTTGTCCAAGTACGGAGTGGTAGCTAACAACTTGCACACCAAGATCAGTTGGGATGATCTGAAGGCAGCGTGGCACAAGCGGTTCCAAATCGAGCCGCTCGAGATCAAGGCTATGGACAAGCTCGTGGTCTTCGAGCAAGGCACTCTACCGAGTACCGACTGGATCGCCGAGTACCAACGCTTGACGTCAGTCTCAGACATCCAGATGGGCTTCAAGGCCATCCACCACTATTTCATCTCAAGGTCATGTCCGACATTAAGCAATGCCCTAGCTCACGTCAAGGACACCTTGACGACGACGGCGGAACTGTTTGACAAGGCCGCGCAGATCATTATTACGAACAAGGAGGCAAAGAATATGTGTTCATCTGCGGCAGGCCTGAGGAAGGACTAGCATCGACCAAGAGTGGTCGTGGTTGCAGCGGCGTTGGACTTAACCAACGAGGTTGTATCTGCCAGTGAAGGAGACGGACTCGCAGCTGCCCGGGAAGGTGGCCGCCCCGGCAGAGGCCGAGGACGTGGCAAGACGAAGATACACACCGCATCTAGCCCCGGGCCCGGCGCAGTAGCTCCAGCCCCTTGGTCCCAATACGGCATCTCCGAGCAAGCCTTCAAGGCGCGTACGAGATTCCACTATTGCCTATGGTGCAACAGTGATCTTCATCAGACACCGGTCTGCCCACTGAAAGGCAAGGGCAAACAGGGAAACTGAGCACCGCCGAGAGTGACTAGACAACATTCTCGACGCCTCCGGAACCGGTTGCTTCACGAATAACCGACCTTCATTCCGAGGCGCACGCGGAAGTCGATAGTCCTCCTCTTTTACTTTCTTTTGAGGACTATGCCGCCTGACTCGTTCCTACGCTGGGTACTCAAGCTCAAGGACAAGACGTGTGTGCGACATCTTCTCCGTCCGGCAGCGGCGACTTATCGTCTTCAAGTGGTTCTACACGGGATTCGGCGCGCGAGTTCAACATAGAGGTATTGGACCCGCTCACGTCCAAGGACTTTGCATGGCTTCCTCTCCCGACCACAGGCCGCTTGTCGGGACCGCAATGCGCAATACTATACGCTCATCTCCACACTTACTTATCCTTCTATGCACCACCAACTTCGCCGACGGATGACAAAGTCGCGGTGAGGGTATCCTTGCGTATACTACCAAGGTGGCCCGCGAGTTTCGCACGCAGCGATACGATGACAACAACGCACCGCTCATGTATGTCCGCATTCAAGTTGGGCAAGCGTCCTGCAGCGCTTTGCTGGATAGCGGCGTGTCTCACAATTTCATGAGCCAACCCTTTATGCAAAGGGCTGGCCTTGGCGCGCAAGTTTGGAGGAAGGCAAACCCGACGGCGATCAAGTTGGCGGATGGGAAAACGAAGCAACTTCTCGACCGATACATCGAGGTTATACCGGTTTATTTCGCACATCATGCATGCGAACCGGTGACATTCGATATTCTCGATACGGACTATGACATGATTCTAGGCTTGCCTAGGCTTGCAAGAGCGGATCAACCGTTCAACTTCCACCGGCGGACTCTTAGCGTTTGCGACGCCTTCGACGAGGAAGTGGCGTGTACTACTCCTCTACCGCACCCTTCGATTCGGTGCCAAATGGTGACGGCCAAATCATTAAGGGTGACTTGCGCTTACGAGCAGCCCGAGGAGATCGGCCTATGTTTCCTACGGACCGTCGCGGTGACCGACTCTTCACCCACGAACTTGTCTTCGGACCCCCGGATGGTGCAGTTGCTGGACGAGTTCGCCGACATCTTCGAGTCACCTACCGGTGTGGTGCCGGATCAGCCGATCTCTCACGAGATCATTCTTGAGGCCGATGTCGTGCCGCCGAAAGGGTCCATCTATCGCACGAGCCAGGAGGAGCTTGAGGTCCTCCGCTCACAACTCGACAATTTGTTGGCCAAGGGATGGATCCGCCCTTGCAACTCCCCATATGAAGCACCGGTTCTCTTCAACTGGAAGAAAAACAAGGATCTACGATTGTGTATCGACTACTGCAAGCTCAACGCGCAAATCATCAAGAATGCGGGGTTTCTTCCTCGCATCGACGAGCTTCTTGAGCGACTGGGCGGCACAAAGTATTTTTCTAAGTTGGATTTGAAATCGGGATATCATCAAATCTCGATCCGGTCGAACGATCGCTACAAGTCCGCATTCAAGACGTGGTACGGGCATTTTGAGTGGGTGGTCATGCCTTTTGGCCTCACCAACGCCCCGACGACCTTTCAAGCGGCAATGGCCAATGAGTTTCGTGCAATGTTGAACCGGTTCGTGCTGGTCTACTTAGACGATAGTCTCTTCTATAGCCAGTCATTGGAGGATCATCTTGGGCATTTTCGACGAGTGTTGGAGACGCTCCGCCGCGCCAAGTATAAGGCCAACCGCGACAAGTGCGAATTTGTTCGGCAAGAGCTGGAATAGTTGGGCCATTTTGTCACACCGGAGGGCATCAGTCCGCTATCGGACAAGATTCAAGCCATCCAGGACTGGTCGGAGCCTCGGAACGTCACGGATGTCCGTTCATTCCTTGGCCTTGCTGGCTACTACCAGCGTTTTATCACAGGCTACTCGAAGATCACGGCCCACTTGAACAAGCTTCAATGCGAGGATCGACCGTTTGATTTGGGAGAGGAGGCACATAAATCTTTCTTGGCTCTCAAAGCCATGCTATTATCTGTGGAGGTCTTGCGGATATACGACCCGCTTTTGCTTACACGCGTCACTATGGATGCGTCAGAGTATGGTATTGGCGCAGTCCTTAAGCAACATGATGGTGTGGACTGACACCCGGTCGAGTATTTCAGCAAGAAAGTGCCCACCGTGCATTCCATTGACGATGTACGCAAGAAGGAGCTCCTCGCCTTCGTCCACGCGCTCAAGCGGTGGCGGCACTTCCTCCTTGGTCGAAGCCCAATTCGATGGGTGACGGACAACAATCCGTTGGTCTTCTATAAGACCCTAGACACCGTCAACAGCACCATCGCTCGATGGATGGCTTTCATCGACCAGTTTGACTTCTTTCCCGATCACATTCCCGGGAAGTCGAACTGTTTTGCGGATGCTCTTTCACGGCGTCCGGATCATTGTACCGCGGTCTACTCAACCTTCGAGATCGACAATGACCTGCGGAACAACTTCATTCGCGGTTACGAAGCCGACCCCGAGTTTCACGACAAGTACGTGAATTGCTCCTCTTCTAATCCGGCGCCTTCTCACTACCGGATCCAAGAGGGGTACTTGCTTGTCCACACACGGGGGAATGACCTTCTTTGCATACCGAGTGATCCTCACTTACGTACACGGCTTCTTGGCGAGTTCCACGATGCTCCCACCACCGGACACTTTGGAGTCAATCGCACGATTAGTCGACTTCGCCGGCGATTTTCGTGGCCCGGCCTTCTTTGCGACGTCACTCGCTATTGCGAGTCATGCGAGGTTTGCCGACGCTGCAAATCTCGCAATCATCGTCCGTACGGCGAGTTACGACCATGACCTGTCCCATTGAGGCGAAGGGAAGCGATTGTCAAGGACATTACCGGCCCGTTCCCCAAGCACAAGACCGGAGTGGATGGGATTCTCACGGTGGTCGACTGACTCACCAAGTTTGCCATGTTTTTGCCTTGTCGCTATCATGCCAAGGCACCGGAGTTGGCCGAGGTTCTCTACGCCGGTTGGATTCGAACCAAGAGTTACCCCAAGGAAATCGTCTCCGACCGCGACACTCGGTTCATGTCCGATTTTTGGTTGGCACTCATCAAGCGATGAGGCTCATCTCTCAAGCCCAGTTCAGCTCGCCACCCTCCGACCGATGGCCAGACGGAGAGGGCGCATCAGACCGCACAGGTTCTCCTTCGCACTCTCATCCATCCCGACCAGGAGGACTGGGTTGAGCGGCTGCCAGATGTCGAATTGGCCTACAACTCTATCCACCCGCCTATCGGAATGTCGCCCTTCGAATTCGAGCACGGCTTGCCGGTAACTTCACCGTTGGACACGATCACTCCGCGAACGGCCGAGAGCGGCCATTATCTTCTTTTTGTACGTTGGATGCAAGAGCTTCTTGTCAAGGCACGCGACCAGATGACTAAAACGCAGCAGCGCATGAGCCAGCAGACCAATCGCCAGCGTCTTCCTTGCCCATTCCTCGTCAGCGACCTCGTTTGGGTTTCCGCAGCGGAATTCAGCCTTGAACAAGACATCTCTCGCAAGGTCCTCCCGAAATGGATGGGGCCTTGGCCGATCGTAGCACCTGCTAGAGACGTACCCGAGGGACCTTCCTTCACGATTCAGGTGCCCGACCACTTGCCCGTCTACCCAGTCTTTCATTGCTCCAAGTTGACTCTTTACACGCTAGCGGAACATGACGATTTTCCTGGGAGACGTTCGCAAGACCCACCCTCCTTGGATGGCTTTCAGGAGGTCGGCGACATCATCTCCAACTGACGCTACGGCAACAGGCCAACCGAGTATTTAGTGCATTTTGCATACTGCACACACCGAGCTGACCGTTGGTTGACCCGTGCGGAACTTCAAGCAACAGCTGCAGACTTTCTCGCACGCTACGAACGCAAGATGCAAGGCAAGCCGATTTCTTCGGCTCCACGCCACGCCCACGTCCAGGTTCCACCTTCAGGTCGTCGGCTTCGCCCTTGCCCCGGCTTGACTTCGTAAGGAGGGGCGGGTGTTATATGTTGCGCCTGACACGAGGGCCATTTTCCAGGCCCTGCGTCCCTCAGGCTGAAAGCCTGAAATTCAGGCTTAATGCCTGAAAACCAGGGCCTACAGACCCCGTGACTGTTCAACCCGAAAGCTTGAAAACAGGGGCCTACAGTCCCTGTGTCGTTTCAGACTAAAAATGGCAACAACCTTTTTAACCTGAAACGAAGGGCCATTTTCGGTCGTTCATCAGAACGACCGGCCCTAAAACTCACGCACCGAACTAGGGTTTCGGGAACAGGCTATTCTTGGCCTCTTCCCCACGCCAGCCTCAGGAGCTGCTGCAGCGTCAGCCCCTGGCACACTTCGGCATTGGCAAGAGCAGCCTCCTCGGACTGGCTCGCCCTTCACGCAGTGAGGAGGCAGGCCGAGGTAGTACATAGGGACTTCCCATGCACTTCACGGGTAGGCAGGAGGCAGTAGTCTTTAGGATTCGACCGCAGCACTCTAGAGGGAGCGCTGGATGGAGTAGTTGTAGTGTTAGCCTTTAGTCTTCAGCGTTGGGCGCAGTAGGTAGCTATGTTTCCAGCGCTGGGCACCATAGCTAGGATAGCACTAGAGAGAGAGAGAGGTTAGGCGGAGGCCAAAGGTACTTACCTGCAAGCGCCGTTGCTCCAGCTTCGTCTTCGAGGTACCTGCAGCACAGCGCCAACATCACAGGTTAGTTTCTGGCTTGTAATAGAGAGAGAGAGTTCTTCTTCTTCCTCTTCTCAGTCCACCATCTCCCTCTAACCCTCTCATCATCTGACTTCACTGCATCTGCAAACTATGACAGAAGAGAGAAAGAGCTTGGGACATTGGATCCAGACTTTACTTTTGGGATTCAGACATTGTAACGAGGGACTATTTGGGACTTGTGACAAAGACTTGGTGTTGACGACATTCCCATATCTCCCTCTCCTCTTCGTCCGATCCCCTCCTCTTCGTCTGTCTATGTCTGGACCTAGCGCTTCCTTCCCGTGTACAGCGTCAGGCTCCTTCACACTCGTGATGGACACGATGTATGTTTGGTCTGCATTCAAACATTGATTGGGCTAGTCCTTAGCATTCTAGCATTCTGCTTTGCTATCATTGTACTACGTGAATGAGGTCAGTCCCGTTCAGGTCAGGACTTGTATCCAAATCTTCCACTGCGCTATTGAGCACCATTTTTTATGTATGAGAACGCACATTGCTTGTTGAGATTCTACTTGCACTGCATTGTCCATTTTGTCCTTTTTCATCCCATTGTGGATCCTTTGTTTCTATGTACATCGCCAAATTGGGCATTCAAAAGGATGGTGGCGCTCCAGGTCAGTCCCTATACCTCAACCCGCCACCCGGTGGACAAACGACTTCATCCTGCTGGGGGCAGCGGCCCCTAGGAAGCAAGGAGAGTATGTGGGCTGCAGTGTTGTGGTCCCTCTGGTCACTAAGGAACTTGGCAATCCGAGGAGGGGAAATATTGACACCTCCAATGATCAGAGTGGAGACTAAGTTTGTGATCAAACAAACCATTTTCACAGAATGGTCACTTAAAGTGCTTAATAAGGGATGCTCCTCGAAAGCTCAGAAACAGTTCTATCAGCGCTGGGGGCGTTTCTCAGACCTGCCGACGATCCGGTTGGAAGCAGGATCACCACCAGAATTTGTCTTTTCTGCCTTCTTCCTTTGATGTGCTCATTCCGTTGCAGGACTTCAGTGGGGTCTGCTTTCGTTTTTGTTTCTGTGTGCAGTTTAGGCTTGGGAAACTGACATTGTATAAATGGTCTTCTGTTTGTTATTAGTTTAGACTTTGGAAACATGGCATTGTGCAAGGGTGTGATGTACATTGGGATTGCTGTTCATTTCATTCCTTTGACTCCTTTCATTCCCAGTAAATAGTTGTTAGTGATAGGATAGGATAAACTTCTTAACGATATAAGGAAATAGGGCAGGTGCATATTGTCAATCAAACACAAGCACTGATCGAGGTTTTCTCCGTCCAAAGGGATGCCGAATTACGAGGGAACCAGCATCCCTTCATCTGGAAACACAGAACGAGCATATATCGAATCAGAGTTCTAGATGACGGTAGATGTTGGAGAGCATACCATCCAAAACGACCATTTCGTTAAAATGGACATTTTTGATTTTTTGAACGAAATTGAAACCGAGATTTTTGGCCGAAAACTCATCAAAATATGTTGTTCTTGAGGGTCCTGCGTTTTATAAACGCTGGACCCCCTGGCTGTACATGGACCTAGCTTGAGACCAGGCACCTCCAGGCAGGACTGCCTGGAGGTACGTGGTCTCAAGCGAGGAACACCAAATTTTGACGAGTTTTCGGCCAAAAAACTCGGTTTCAATTTCGTTCAAAAAATAAAAGATATTCATTTTGACGAAATGGTAGTTCCAATGACCCCGATTGAGGAACTTCCCTTCGACCGTGACGAGTGGCACTTGTCCCAGGAAGTTTGGATTAGGCAAGGGACAGCAAAAAAACTAACACTACATATTTTGAAAACCCAATCAATCTACTGAATGCTTTGTCCCAAGCGAAGACTGCGGGAGCTAGTAGAGCACACATGGTATCGGCATCTCAATGTGGACCGCGGCCCGCTCAAACCCATCCGATGGTTCATACACTACGGGGGCAGACCCGCAAAGATTTCTGCCCTTCTGTGGCAAATAACACATCGATGCCTATCAACAAATGACTGGCTGATAGAGCATACCCGGTTGGAAAAACAAGGACGAACATTACCCTGGTGCCACAGCTGCCTTCAGAGCTACCCAAGAAGAAAACGAGCTGAGACAATTAAACACATC